AAAAAAGGGCATATACACACATTCACTCAAGGCTTTGTTCATTGATGCTTTCAAGTGCTTGAAATGCGTTACCAGAGGGAGGCTTGAGTGCAACAAACAACAAACATAATGTGACATAAACCGAAACAAGAACAGTCTCTTCTGCAAACGGAGGGCTCTGCATCAGACTCCAAAGACTTCACTCTATCTTGCACGGGGGTGTCGCCATTGGAGAGCTTGGTGTTGTAGTGCTCGGCGATGGCCTGTATAACGTACAGTATACCATGCGGGAAGCATCCGACAAGAACTTTGCATAGGTTTGACTCTGACATCATTCACGAATCCCAAAGCTTCAGAAAGTGATAGCCCGGCAGGTCTACAGCACATCAACGTCCTGCACTTTAGCTCACCCAGCCTGAGTCTGCAACCAACCCCGCATTGCTTCCGGGTTTTTGGCAAAGTTTTGGAGAGCCTTAGCAGTCTCAGGGTTCTTCTCCACATAGTCCTTGACTTCAGCCCAGGTCTCATCATCAATGTCGGGCAAGCGAGCAATCTGCATGGTGGTGCCGTCACTGACATTCAGGGTCTCAGTTGCCATTGGAGAGATTGGTTGGTAAAAATGGACTCTGCTTTGGCTACCGAGGACACAAAAAAGGCCTTGAACCGAAAGCACGGGGCAGCGCGATTCGTTTCAATATAGAGCAGCAAGCGTGGGAGACCAAACAATGTGAGATATCACGCCAGCATGCAACCACGCAGGACAATGCTAGGGGCTCCTGGCATCGCTACTAGGAGCAAGGATGCTAGTAATCAATTACAAAGGGTACAGGTCACCCTGGACCCATCTGGATCATTTGTCGGGGCACCACACCACCGCTGCCAAGCGCTCGAAGCGCCCAAGCGCGGCACGCTGCACTTGCGATGCAAAGCCCTCGATCTGCGCAGCGGCGCGGCGGTGGTCTCCAGAGCTGCTGACCTTGGATTCAATCGCCATGCTTGTGGGTGGCTGTGGGTCGTGGAAGAAAATCGGTCTCTCCAAAAAATAAAGTAGGCACTCGTACAGGTACAAGCCCACCTTGACCTTGAAGTTCGGAGATCTGAAATGAATGATTGTGACTGGAACGGCTGAATCGCCCCTTTTGGTATCACCTTATGTAGTACTTACACATACTCACACTGTGTCAAAGGTGTTGGTTTGGCTCCATGTTGCTCAGCTAGTCAAGTCATATGAGTTGTGCCGCTTGCAGCTGAAGAAGCACTGAAAACTAGTAGTGTTCAAGCATGTGCATTCCTGTTGCTATTGCTGCTGCTTTCCATTGCGCATATTCATATTAAGTATGTTTAATTTTGTTGGAATTTGTTGAAGTAATTGAGTATGACACACACAAGCTTCTTTCCATGAACAGCCCTACGCAAACTACGCATGCATTGGACATGTCAAACATGGCCAAACTGGTGCTCGACAGTTACAGCCATTTCCCGTCTAGCCAATCTAGCGATGCTCACAGTCTGACCAAGCAGCTTCACCCTGTCATGACAAGAAGGTTCAAAACAGTCGTTCTAACATGTTGTCGGCTTCATTGTCTAATCATGCTTTGGCTTAGGCTATATAGGTTTGACAGCGCCTGAGGGCTCAAGCACTTCTGCACAAAGCGCTGGGTGTGAAACTAATCACAAGGCTCCCAAAATGTGGGTAATGGTCTGCGAACTAGCAGCTTCAGCTGCGAGAAGCCGACAATACACCTGCAAGCTGCACGCACTGCTCCATGCACATCAAGTTGAGGACCTCTTAGCCTCAAAGCCACTCGAAGCATCTCCCGAGTCCATGTGGCCAGTTGAGCCCAAGCTCTGCCCCGGAAGAGCAACAGGTGAGGATTGAAAGCAAATGCCAACTTGGACTCTTCCAAGCCTGTCCATGGAGCTGACGGGTAGCAGCAAAGATGGTGGAATCTGGCCTCAAGGAAGGTCTCCAAAACCTCTGATGCTGGCTTTGCAGGCAAAACCTCGATCTGCGGATCCAGCATGGATTGAACAGGGAAGGAGTCCACCTCAACACCAACGCTCAAAAGCAGAAGATCGTCTGCGCAAAGGCCCAGCAACATCGGTAGGCTCAAGAAGTTGGCCACACAAGGCCCAGCCTCATGGAGTTGGCCTGCCCCCGTCAATTCAGATTCCAACGCGTCTGCCAAGTCACCCATGAAAAACACAGCTCCAGAAGAAAATTGCAAGGCTGATGTAACCTCCCTACAAGACAGGTGATCCTTGCCGTACCAAACCACTAGTATGGAGTCCATGGAGGAACGGCCACCAAACATCTTGTTTGCCTTTCCCACTGCAGCTGAGACTTGCTTTGAAAGCTGCTCCCGGGATTGACCACGATCCACCACTATGCAAGCACCGCAGCACCTTGGTGGGTCGTAAGTCCGTCGGACTCTTGTAGGGCTCTAAAGCTGGGCGGGTCACATAACAATGTCTGTTTCCTGTAAGGAACTGTTCCTGGTGACCCCGTCATGGATTGCCATGTTGGAGGGGCTTGAACTTAACTTGATGTCCAAACGACACCGATCTGCCACGTCGCCTGGTGCGCAGTGCCGCCTCCGGCGGCGCCGAGGCCATCCTCGCCCACGAGACGCGAGACCCCGCGGACGGGGACTTCTCCGCTCGGACGTCAAGGCTTCGTTGGCGAAGGCGAAAACCGTGCTTAAAGGAACGGAGCTCAAGGGGATGATCTGCAAACCAACAGGCTTGCCTCGACTGCCAGCCACGACATGACATATCATGACTGAATATGAGGGATGTTCTTGGATGTTGACGGTTCCTGAGTCTACAGTAATGAAATAGAGTCGCGTTGATGCAATGTGTTTTGTCTTAAGGGCAGACAAGGAGGTATTATATGTAATATGCAAACTGCCTCAAGCACTTGGCCGGCAAACATTAAAAACTTGACCACAAACTCGCAGTGATGTAAACAGTGGGAATATCAAACGGGCGTCCACTCACCCAGTTGATCCCAGGGGCACATCGGAGTCCAACAGCTGGCATGGTGGGCTGTAGAAAAGGCAATTCCTATCCAAACATCGAAAGGCACACAGCCGCGTGGCAAATGAAGCCTGTAGTTTTGATAGCTGTGCATCAAGTTGCCTTTCAAGTGGAAAAATCACATTAGGCTCTAGGAGTCGTCGGGCTCCAGACCGACTGATGAGATAGGCGAATGTTCCCAAAGGCTCAGCGCCGGTCACCTCTTCCAGTGAAACCGGGTTATGCAACAGGCTTGAGTCTCCCAAGGACAACTGAAGCGCACTCTGACCATGCCAGCCCACATAGCACAGGTGCCAACCACTGGGAAGTTCTTCAAAAACCTGAGCCAAGCGGACATCCAAATCGGGAACCACCCAAAGAAGATCGTCTTCAAGCACCAGCCAGCAGTCTGCATCATCTTCCGTTTCACGCACCATGCTTTCCCACACAGACCGGTGAGACAGTGCACACCCAACTGCTCCGGGTGTCATGTGAAGCCAATCGTAATTCCAGCAAATCCTTGAATCCTTGAGTAGTTCAAAGCGTGGGGAGGCGAAATCGGCGCTATGAGAATTGCTGAGCCATGAAGGCACCAGCCTTTCGCAAGCAAGCTTCCGGCCACACACGGCCGGCCACCATTGAAGTTTTTGGAACACCTCCCTGTGAGGTTCCAAAATGGTCACCACGCGCCTCCGCCGATCCTCTCGAGCAGCCAGCGTCACAACGACGACGCGGGCCAAGGTCCGATCCGTAGGGGACTTGAGGCTTCCACGCATCTGAAAGCCTTTGCATTCTGACCTCAAAGCGTCACTTGGGCTCACCCATGTCAGGGACCCTACTCACTACTCATCAATATGGCATTGCATGGCTGGAAATCGCTGGCAACCTGCTGGTGAGAGAACATTGAGAAGCTCAGCTTCATTTTGGCAACACAACATTTCGCTCAGGACTACCATGTTCATCCATGTTCTACCGCTATGGTCGGGAATCGTGAACGATGCACCCAAAAATCGATTCCTTTGTCTTGAATCACCTTGGGAAACCAAGGGGGACCTGACATTGGCTGACGCAAACGAAAAGTAGCGTGTCTTGAGCCACATCAATTGAACAGTCAATAAGCAAGTTAGCTGGCACTCCTTCATCTAATGCTCAAGCAGCATCCGCCGTAGCGCTTAAAAAGCTCAGAGCAAAACTGCAACCAGTCCTACTGTTTTGGAGATGCTTCTTGGAACTCGTCACCAAGGCCGAATCTGCATTGCTCGGGGCGTGAGCAAGGCGAATTGAGCAAGATGAGGAGTGATCGCTCGCGTCAAGAGTGCAACAAATCCCCAACCAACCCGCATAATTACCCGGCATGCCCTCGTGCTCGCAGTCTGACGAAGGCGCCCAGCACTCCCGGTGCTCTGCCAGTTGCAGCCGCGCAGGTGCTCTGCCTTCGGCCAGGTTGTGCAGTAGCTGCTCGAAGAGCGGCAAGTCGCGCTCAGGAACCTGGTGTAAAATCTTGGAGCCAAGGATAACCAGTCGTGGACATAAGTGACAAGTGATGAAGCAAGTAGGCAAGTAGGAACTAATGATGAGGACATCATGAGATCCTTACAAAGGTGCTCCAGGTGTTCCTATCATTCACTCGAAAAGCTCCAAGTCGTGGGTCATGGGCATTGGCATTTAAACGTTTGGCCTTCGTCACACAGTTTCTGTTTACTATCTGGTACGCTTTTAGAAGAACTGTCACAAAGGGTTGCCCCAACTCCTAACAGTTCCAACATGTTGGTGATGCTAAACTCTCACAAACAGGTGGAGTGAGATCTGATGGTGGTTGAGTCAGGTGTCACAGGCCCCCACCCCTTGACCACGGTACTGTGGTAGCGACAGTTCGATGGCAGCAGCTCCAGCAGCTCTCACAGGCCTCGACCACTCCAGGTGGTGTTGGCTCATTTGCCACATTCACCACCACCTGTCAGGCAACGCCGCTTGGCAAGCCAATCCACATACAGTAAGTCCGAACATTGCTCAACTGACCCTCTATCATCCTTGATCTACCTGCAGGTTGGTATTTGTGGTTGTGACAGCTAAAGCACTTATCAGTCCCTGTGGGTTGGTCGCTCCGATCCACTTCCTTCATTCAGAAGTGGTCAATGGAGTGTTTCTTCCCTGAGTTGCTAGCCGGACATCCATTCCCATTGGATTCGCCTGCAAGTCGGAGACAAACTGAAAGAGCTGCTGAAGATCCTGCAAGTCCTGGATCAAACGGTGTTGCGAGGAAACGGGGCTGCAAAAACCAGGCTTGAGAAACCCTGCTTGACAACCGATATCAACCGATCAAACATTTCACCACCGTTTGATTTGCCAATCTTGCCCATGACATGCCTGCAAGTGCTCCTTGACTTGCGACGCTGAGGCAAAACCCAGTATTGAAAGTTGGCTGCACTCATCATCTTCTTCTTCTTCTGGAGCACGGGTGCCGGCAATTACAAGCATGCTTGCGGTCCTTGCACAAATAGGAAAAACAAAAACCAAAAGAAATTGAACCTGAAACGCCTAGCTTTTGAGCCAGTGGGCGCACTTACCACAAGTTTGTCGGCAATCTAAATCTAATCCAAGCCTGTAAGGGAACACTGTAGTGAGTTTGAACACGCAAAGCGATGCAAAAACTGGCCGTTTCATTGGTGGTTCTCCTCTAAGGCCAGCAGCAGTCAGCAGCTTGGAGTGCCGGGAGAGCACGACCAGCGCTTCCAGCCTTCGGCCTTGGCTGTCACAGCACCCCAATACATATATATATATATATATACATATAATATACATAGTATGTTTCATTGACTCAGCCAATGCTAGCACGCAACTTTACATATTGTTATATTTCAGCACCCCAATATATTTATATATACACACCATATCTACTCTTTAGATTTAGGGTTGAAGAATGTTGAAGACACAGGCCCTCAAAAGGGCAATGAATATCAAGAAAAGCACGGTCCCAAGTGCTGGTAAGGCCATGTAAGGCCTAGCTGAGCAGTTCATGTCGTGTAAGGGCTATCCACCGCACGCACGAGTCAACAAGCGCCGTGAGCGCCAAGAAGCTATGAAGAAAGCACTGACTGTCGTTGAGTAGTGCCTCTTGCTCGGCTTCATGAAAATCCCTCCATGGCCGCGTATGTGAGGGCATCTCAGCTTTTGATAGATCCTGAAAGGCCAGCCTGTACAAATACTGTAATAGCGGCATCCAGTGGGTTCAATGAGGACACGTTTGCGGCTCGCCTATTTCCGCGCCCCAAAGACTCCAACTCCACTGTTCACAGTTCCTTACTTAGGGCAATTTGGGCAGCCAAAAGGCTTCAGACCATCTAAGGGTTCAGCAAACAGTGTAACTAACACTACTTTATTCTCCTGGTAGTTTGCGCGCTTTTTTTGCTCCGAGCCGAGCATAGTCTGTGCGCGTGTTTGATTCGCAAACTGCGAAGAATATGATCTGCACAATGGTACTGTCGATTCATGCCAAACCTTAGCAGCAAGAAGTGGACATAGGTGGACTAACCGCTACAACATAGCTGGTGCAACACCATTTTTTACAAATCGGCAATCCTCCAACCAGTGGGTCTACCGCTATCAGTGATCTCTTTCCACTGGACTCGTTCGAAAGTTGAAGGATTATGGAACCTCTTTTGGACCTCTTCAGAGTCTTCAGCTTCGTAACTCGTTGAAGCAGCGTTCACCCGTAGAGGTCGTCGTCATCGTCCGCCGCCGCGGCACTCGCTCCGATGCCGACATCGTCCGGCCAGTTGATGACTACGCCCGAGCTGCCTCCGCCCGCGGTGGAGTTCATGTAGATTGGGTCAAACTTCTTCCGGAACCTCAACAAGCACCGGGTAGCAATTGAACATTTATGGCATGCCTTTCAGATTTCAATCCTAATACTTTTATGCTTTGGGGCACCTGTTGTAGCTTATATTATATATATATGTATTTTCACAAAATCATGACTTGGAAACGATGATTTTTCCCGACCAAACGGTGACTTTCCTTGGCCAAAGATCGGCTCTTACCTTTTTGCAAACTTTCATACATGTGCAAATAGCTGATGATGGTAGTGGCATGCATCATACTCCATAATATCGACATATAGATAGACAAATGTATGTAGTGTGGGGCTTGTCAACCCTCCACATTTGCCAAAGGCGCTGATCATACTTTGCCAGGTCGGAACCCGCCACTGATCGCCTAGCGCCTGCAAACGCCTCTTCAAAGTGCTTGCGACCAATCTCCTAAGCAGTTAGGGACAAAACCTCAAAATATCTAAAGGCAATCTCTAGCACAGGCTTTTCACAGTCTAGGGAAGCCTCAGGCCGAACTTTGGGAGTTTTGCAGAAGCTAAAAACCTACGACGGCATGTCCAGGAGTCCATGCTCACTAGTCACTAGTTCACCATCATTCAATCGAGTCTCATTTCCCATGGTGGTGTCCATGGCGTCATCATCTCCGGCCCTCAGCTCATCCGCCGCAATGGCGTCTCGTACGGCAGCCTTGGCGGCGCGTTGGCACAGCTCTGCCAGATCTGCTCCGCTGAAACCCTCGGTCTTCTGCGCAATGAAGGGCAGCGGCACATTGGGAGCCACTGGTGACTTCTTCAATGTGGCTTCCAGGATGCCCTGAGACACTAAACCACAAGCTTAGATCAGGGTTGGCTCAGGGGAAGCCTCGATATGCTGGGAGTTTCAAAACAGTAAGGATCAAACGATCAAGCCTGTTTGCATATTCAATAGCCTCGATCATATATATTTATGTGTGTGTATATTTTGATTATATTATATATATATATAGATGTATTTGTCATGATGAAGACTTTTATGGTGGAGGTGATGTCTTTGTTCAGACTACCCTGCCTGTCTTGCGGGCAGGTCAGGCAACGGGATGTAAATGAGCTGATCCAAGCGACCCGGACGGAGCAAGGCTTCATCCAGGAGCTCTGGTCGATTGGTGGCGCCGATGAAGAAAACGTTCTTCTTGGCACCCACACCATCGATCTCGGTCAGTAGCTGGTTCATCACTCGGTCACCTGGGCACCGGGTAATAGCGGTGGCCTCCAACCTACTAGCGATGGCCTCCAACCTACTAGCAATGGCCTCCAACCTGCTGCCGATATTACATCTGTCTTTGGAATCCGGTTCTGCCACTTTCCAGTATGGCCTACTTTCCAACTCTGTGCTTGAACTGGAACTCATCCCTCGCCGCCACTCATGGATCCGCATTGCTTTATCTGACCATGCCGAATTAGGTTCAGAGAAATCCGCAAGCTTGCTCTATTTTCTAGTGGTCCCAACGAACCTTTCAATGAAATCTCAAAGATCGAAACAAACCGTCCAAACAACGAGGACAATGCAAAAAGCTGCGGAGAACTTCACCTCCTCTACTCTCTCCCTCGAGTCGCCTGCTCCACCAGCATCTCCTGCACTGGAGCCACGGGCTGTGCCCACCGAATCCAGCTCATCGAAGAAAAGAACGCAGGGCGCTGCTGCGCGGGCCTTGTCGAAGACTTCACGCACATTGGCCTGTCAGCTTCACATCTCCCTACATTTCCTGTTTGAGCGCTAAGTGGTCACTTACCTTGACTTACGTTCGCTATCAATCGCTGTACTGTCACAAATGTTTGACCTTCCAATTCAAGCACGCAGCTATACTTGTGTGCGGGGGTTAGGGAGCATATGGGAGCATCATCAAATGCCCACAGCCAACTCCTCACATCGGATTTCGCTGACTTCGATGGCCTAGGACCTAAACAGGTGGCTGCGGTCACCAGTTGCCAGTTCGCAACAGAGCGCATATGATTTACTAGTGTCTGCTCTGCATAATATGTCTTCACATATGCCCAAGTACGGCCACTGTTGGAGAGCATTTGCCGGGCGCCTCTGACTCTCCGAACCACATGGTGAGCAACTCTGGGCCCTTGATGCTCACGAAGTTGGCCGAGCACTCAGAGGCTACCGCCTTGGCCAGCAGCGTTTTGCCGCAGCCTGGGGGGGCCATAGAAAAGAACTCCTCTGGAGGGTTGCATGCCTCAGGAAGGCACGAAGCATGGAGAATTTGAGGGCATTGAACGCCAGCCCAGCTAGCAAGGCTTCTTGTTTCAACTTTGGCAGTACAGATTTCAATCAATTTCAGCCACCATGCCCCAGGGCACAGGTAATTTCTGGGAATTTCAAGATGCAAGATATCCATTCTGTAGCAGCCAGCTAGCCAAAAGTGGTGGTTTGGTAGTTCTTGCCATCGCCGGATTTGGGAAAAGGGCTTAACAAGTGCGTGTATGCTAGGCTTTCAGGATGTGGCCAACACAAGGACATCCGAATGAACAAAAAGCAGAGGAAACACAATGCAAATCCAAGAATGCCGAACTTCTCGAACTTCTCAGGGTGATCAATAGGATATAAAATCGTCTCCTGTAGAGATCGCTTTGTATCTTCCAATCCACCAATGTCATCCCACTTGATGTTCGGCACTTCGACCACGGTTTCTCGAAGGGATGATGGATTCACCTTGGCTGTGGCAGCACAGAAGCGAGGCATTTGACAAATGCACTGATGCGCTCTAAAGACGTTCAGTTTGTACGGCAGGGCACATTGGAACCCCTTTTTATGGACCTTAAACTGCCTCAAGCTCTGAAACTGTTCCTGAAGAAATCAAACACCAACACACACTTAGATAGATGGCTCGCAAGAGCAAACGTCGGCTTTAGTAGCCCGTGGTGTCAGCCCTTTAAATCTAGTTACTGTATTGCCAGTCTACAGCGCTCAAACCTGAACCTACGAAATCAGCCCTGGGAGGAACGGACAGGCAAAGTCCGACAACAGTATGAGTTAACTAAAGGAAAGCAAGAGCAATGTGATCAGGTCCCCTTAGAGACAGGGGTTGACACACACATACACACGTGATGGAGTGTTAGCTTCGCAAGTCATGCGAGTCACTGTGCCCATTGCGGACTTGAAATGTTCCTGACTCACCGCCATGGAATCCAAGATTTCCTCAGCTGATCTCTATGCATCACTTCAAGAATTCAGCTGAACATGTGCTGTTCAATTGCTGTATGGTCATTCAATGCCATCAAAGAATATGCGGAGTGAAAGAAAAGAGTGAGAATAAATGAGAAAAGGGGTCAGGATTGGTTGGCAAGTGATGCCCACCAGTCCACAAATAAATGTGAACCACCATCTCAAAGAACAAGATTCAGCATCAATAGTCTCCTCTTCCAGGTCAATGAGATCCATCTTTTCACCTGGCTCTGGCTCTTGAGTCAAACCCAGGCAAATCGTTGATGTTTGATTGATCAAGATCTCAATTATCGAGTCAAGGTAGCTATAAGACTTTCAACATCAGCCTGATGGCTTAGACCGAGAAGTGCCATCTCCGCATGCAACCTGTTCAGCATATCCCCAGCTCACTATGCCCCCGGCTACCCCGCCACAAGTGTGGCAACCCCTCCAAACCAGCCATACCAGGTCCAGTGACGAATGCAAGTCAAGGCTGCTTCGGTACAAAGCTGTGCAAGATCGGCTCCCACAAATCCATGAGTGTTTGAGGCCACTTCCTCCAGCTTCACATCTGAGGCTAGCTTCATGTTCCTCGAGACATCCGTGCACTGCCATCCAACCCCGTGAGCCACGGGGTTGAGAGGTTGACGGTTGACAACTGTTTCCCAAACATGTCCAATGCATGTCAAATGTCATGAAATTCTGTGCTATACCCCTGAGCCATACACCCCAGGGGTGCCAGGAATATTGCCGCATATTTGCACTAGACGTCACTTTCATGGTCCACAAATATGGCAACTATTGAAGTATTGCGTGCATATTGGTAACCTCAAACCCAAATATACCACTAAAAAACAATATTGCAGCACATATGCCATGCATCAAACACACACACACACACACACTTGAGCTTTACTTAGAGTTCTAGGCATTCAAGCGAGTTAGAACGACACAATAACTTCAGGTACATAAACCACCATGAAACAGCGGTCACTTTGTGACGGGCTAAGCTGGCCATCTTATGCTGCATGTTTGCACTGGTGGCTTGTTTTTGACGGTTTTCGTTTATATCATTTAAGTATACAGTATCATGTAAATACGTGCCAACGTTGGATTATTGCCGCTTTGACCTTGCGTATGCAACCCAAAAAGGCTGCGATACCGCATCCCGTGCGTGTCTCTTACACTCATATTTGGTGGAAATAGTCCTGCAAGTGGCGGAAATGCATACGCAAAGAATAAGCGCAGGTTACGCTGGGAATTGACACCGTTCTCTTGTGAAGAAGGACCACAGCTGTTTCGCTGCGCGAGTGCAATTCAATGCATGGTTTTGATTCACCTTCGGTGGGTCTTTGGGTTCTTACCCCTGGGGAAGCGGTACTTCTATGATTTGCAACAGCAAGCCCTTGTATCACTTCCACACTAGTCAACTACCACAGAAACGTTTCGGCTTTGGAAGCTGTCCAATGAAGCACAACAAACACCACGCGGGAAGCTCTCCACCCTAGTAGCGATGGCCTCCACCCTAGTGGCCGCCAATGATGGCCTTCGGTCGCCGAGCTTCTTGGTGTGGATGCGGAGGATCTCAAGCCTTCCGTTGTCATCTGGCACACCAATGTCCAACTCCCGGTCGAAGCGTCCGAAACGTCGCAACGCGGCATCAATGGTGTTGGGCCGGTTCGTGGCCGCAATGACCACCACCTGCGACCCAGGCGTTGGGTGTTTGCTGTTCTGTTTAAAAACCCGACCTGCTTTCCGTGCTTTGGGTTTGTATTGTGTCACATGTCATCTACATCGATCATAACATTGTCCACAATCCGTGCGCTTTCACATGCAAAATCAAGCAAACTGTCCAAATGTGTCAAATGCCTTCATGTATATTTATATATATATATTTATATTATATATACATATAACGTATATATATATAGTGATATATATATATGGATACATGAGTGTGCCAAATGTCAACACGTCGACAGCTATTCTCTTTGTCGGTTCCCACACCTGGCCACGGCCCTTGATGCCATCCATCAATGTCAAGAGCTGTGAGACCACTCGCTTCTCCACTTCACCGCTAGTCTTGTCACGCTTTGGGGCAATAGAGTCAATCTCATCGATGAAAATAATGGCAGGTGAGTTCTTCTCAGCTTCTTCAAACGCTTTTCGCAGGTTGCTTTCTGCCTCTCCGGCCATCTTGCTCATGATCTCCGGGCCATTGATCAGGAAGAAAAAAGCGCCGGTCTCATTGGCGATCGCACGAGCGATCAAGGTCTTGCCACTGCCAGGAGGACCATACAAAAGAACGCCCCTTGGCGGCTTTACACCCAAAGTCTTGAAGAGCGTGGGATGTCGCAACGGCAACTCTATCATCTCTCGGATTTGGCCCATGGCTTTCTTGCATCCACCAATGTCATCATAGCCCACATCGTCCAAACGTTCCTCATCCTCACGCTTCACAGGCTCACCTTCACAGTGGATCACCGTGTCGGGGGCCACAATCACAAACTCCCCAGGGTCAACGCCCACCACCTTGAACTCCACAGGCCTAAAACCACCTCGCACTAGGAAGAGATCTCCTGTGCAGTCTATCTCTTCAACATACATGACTCATGTCACATGTCTGTCTCTCTCTCTCTCTCTCTACAAAAACAACCGCACGAGCATATGCACGCGACATCCGTTTAATCTAACAGAACATGTTATATGCAAATGCGTACTGTTACACTATGTTGGCAATTGTGTGTCTTCATTAGCTCTCTAGAGGTGATTGCCCAGTGAGAGAAAAACGCACATCTTAGAAGGTTCACATGCCAGGATTCATGTTTTCGTGTTGGCTTTGCTTCGTTGACTGTATCCGCCTGGCGCACCATGGCGCACCACATGCACATCAAGCACATCAACATACATCAACTCTCCCAGGCTGAGTCTCCTTGACGGGCTGGTCTATAGGCTTCTAAGTAGTAAGGCTTCAGGTATGTGTCAAAGAGGTTTCCGGTGATACCCTCAATAGTGTCATCCAACGGCAGAACATGGATCCGCTTTCCATAAGGAACGTCCCCGCAAGCATGCACTGAGACAATGTCACCAAGACGAACTCGCAAGTTCTTGCGCACAACCTCAATGTCAGCGCTCCAAATATCTGGAGCCCTTTTCTTTCAATCATGACACTCAGGGAACATCACGTACACTTAGCAAAACAGGCCAAACATAAGTGGAGGCAAAAAGGTACTGTGGATGGATGAAATCCTGCACCACCTCACCACTTTGCCCTGCAAAGGTCGCATAGCAACCCCTGCGCCCCCTCGTTCAATGTTGCGCGAAACCTCTGAGGAGGTGGTGCAGGATTTTGGACCTTCAACTTATTTTTGAATTTCTCACTGTGGTGGCCCGAATGTTAACGAGGGAGAACGAGGGCAGCAAGAAAACCATGCGCAAAGTGGTGCAGGATTTTGTCCATCAACAGTATCATCTCCAAAACAAACAGTCCTTCTCTCTAGAAAGGGCTACTGCAATTAAACGATCTGTATGCCAGAGGTCTCAAAGCATACGACAAAGGCTCTGGCCTTGTTCATGCGGATCTTGCTATCATCTAGGTTCTCATCTGCCAGGACAATGCAAACTGTGTCCTTGTCGAGGGCTCGGGTGTTGAATAGCAGTCTAACGACTCAAAAGGCAGCCTTCAAGTTGAACTGGATTATCTTAATTGACCCACTTGGAGAGAACATCCAAATCTGAGTGGTGCATGGATGGCTCAAGATTCTTATGTATAATTATAATACGATCACCAACCACCCCTTAGTCCTTGCGCTTCTTGCCCTTGATCAACACATTGTCCCCACGGAAGAGGTTCAGCTCCTCCAAGTTGATGCATCTCATCATGTTCGGTCAGATCAAGCTTTGGAGATCTTAGATCCTCTGGTTATTTCCCATTCTCGGTCAAACTCATGAAACCACAATGTCGCTGGTGGTGTTCGATGCCTCTTGTGTGCTCAAAAAAAGTCGTCCGAACTCATAGCTGAATCGGAGTGTTCATGGTAGTAGTGATGGCACTTATGAATTAAGATCCTTATGGTCAAACAAATCCACGCAGTGGTTGTGATGTTGTCCTCCATCTTCGCCTGGGAGAGCGAGATCACCTCAATCCACTCAAATGCTGCAAATTCGATCCCAAAGAGTTTGTAGGTGTTCAGGTGTTCACGTCGTTTATCAAAGATTGTAGGATACCCCGAGTGTTACCGCTGCTAAGGGAACGGGGGGGGAACAAACAAAGTGAAACAAATATACAGTATATAACAGAAATGAAATGCATGTGGCAGAAATGCAACAACAAGTCGGGCAGTTTTAAGAACACACAAAGCTGTTCCCGGTATGCTATATACATTGACGGAGTGCGGGTTCTCGAAATTTAGCAATGCTGAGACAACTAGCTGGAACAAATCTAGACAGCGGATTGGCCAAACTGTGGCCATATGATGCCATATGCGCTGTGTTCTAAAGGCATGCTTTGCCATGATGTTTTGTCTCACCAGAATTTGACTGTCAGGACCTTGCGGCAGTTTTGACGCAGCTCTCATCGCCCACTGCTGCTCAGCTACCGAATTGTCATCATTCATGGCCTCCTCCACCACTAGTCTGTTGGGTGACCTAACACGCCCAGCTCCACGAGAATGCTCCGTGGTTCTATGATGAGGCTCTTCTACATTCTTGGTCGTGCAATCTTCATGCTATAATTATAAGGTAAATAATATTAAGCCAAAATATATGTACTATTATCTTCAGCCGCGTAAGTCCGAAGTTGTGTGCTGTCACTACTCTCGCGTCCAACCCCAAGCCCTTCACGCCCTTCATAACCCGACAAATTGTCTCCTCCATGCCCGGTGGCCTTTTCTTGGTTGGTTGTTTTGGAACCTCAACTGGTGCTTCGGCTGCGGGTGCATTGTCTGCCATAGCGAATGACGAATTGGGAAGAATCAAGACGGGGGTCTGATCTGAGCTGAATTGCTGCAAAAATTAAAGCAAAACTGGGAAACCACCGGAGTCATGAGTCACAAAATGCATGCTCCATCAGCATTCCTGAACAAGCACAGCGTCTTTTTGAGCATCAACCCATCTTGGGATGAGCTGCGCATGCACTTCCAACTAAGACTACTGACTAGTGGCAGCAACCTCCGGCTCGAGCCCCAACAGGCTGGAGCCAGACTGCTAAGGGATGCTTGGAAGGCAAACCCTCCAAGCGAGATGGAAGAAACACCAGCGGCTGGCCAGACTTAGCTTCGATCTCTAGAGCTTGACAGCTTGGCTTCAATCCTTCGATCACTTCGATCCTTTGTTTCCCACGTGCGAAACACGCACTGCCGTTTTCAGTGCTCTGTTCACCAAGGTGAGCACGCACAAAAAGCCCATCAGCATTTGCAGTTCTAGACTCACCTGGTGACGGAACACACAATATCGCTGCAAAAAGAAACACATAGGCACATAGTCGAATCAAATGGTTCAAATGGTCTTAGTACGTAAGTATTCAAAAAGCTCCAGCAATGGCAAGCTTTTGTTTCTTGGTATTTGCGAGTCCCCAACAAGAAACTGGCCGACAGGCAGCAAGCAAATAGGCCTCCTGTGATTCCTTTGCTTTGCCGATCTGCTTGCGCAGAATGGAATGTGTCGGTCCTGGGTGTTGGCATCCAAGGTGTGGTGTGATCAAAAACTGCTGCAACGCTACAACTTCTGGAGCCAAGTGATGGAGCATAGTCAATGGAGTGTATTATGTCGATGGCCCGGAATCGCAAAAACAAACCAAAGCCTTTGTTTCAGGTAATTTGGTTATTTTCTCGGCTTCGGCTGTGATCTGTTCTAGGTTTCTTGCCGCTTGGGTCTGGCCAAAACGTCGCCCGCAATGAGGACAAGCAACACGATCCTCAAGTGATGTGAGCCCCATGAAGAACTGGTTGTTGTCGCGTATCGTACAGTTTCTGCGCACTGTCGTCCTGTTTCTGATATATAAAGAAATCACCGATGTTTGTCCATTGGTTCTTCCACACCCTTGATCCGATTGGCGCGCGAGGCTTCCGAAGGGCTTAAGCACCCAGCATCCAGTGCTGGATCCGGTGGTGGCGGAGCTGGCAATGAGGAGAGAGGCTTTCCATCCTGTACAGACAGTGCTTGCGGGCGTCGGGGGCTCCATGAGCCCTGTAACGGTTAAAATCGGGTAACTTAAGCCCTGTCAAAATGCACGGTTGAAGTAAAGTGATATGAACAAAACCAGCATTGACATTAGTGCTTCCGGCCTTTACACACTGGTCCACCATCCTCGCCTGGCCATGAAGCTACAGGAAGCAACACGGCATGCTTGGAGAATAAAATCAAACATCGTACGGCGTAACTATGCAGTACAACAGACTAGCGTTGTCCACACACACACATACACATACATATTGAAAATCCGTGCATGCAAGTTAAGTCGCTAACATTCGCCAACGTTTCATTTCAGGATGCAGCCTTTAACCTGATATGAATCAGTCGAAAGCAACTTGTCTCAAGCTGTCAAGCGTTCAGCCCTTAGCTTAGCCTATGAGCAGTAAACACGTTCAGGCAGTGAACCCCACCCGCGGCCCATTATCTTGACCTTCCGCTACCATCCCCTACCCACATCTTCCAAGCTTTCCACCAAAACATGCAAAACACATCACCAGTGGATACCGCTGGTGGTTCTCGTGGTTCCTCTTCCAACTCAAGGTCCAAAACCTTCCCGCCTGCTTGATGGCTTGCCGGAAGGCCTCGGACTGCTTCTTCCAGCTCGGGACTGCGCACGACAAGTTGGGGCGTCGCTGTTCGCGTCGCGGCGCAGCTTTGTGGCGACATCAACGTGTAAGTGTATACCCGATGAGTGGGGGGTGACAGGGTGAGCAAAAAAGTTAAAAGGCCTCCGATGCTGTTGAGTATTGTTGAGTGTAGCTTACAGAATCCCCAAGGTCAAACACCTTAGGAAAGGAAGTGGGGATGTGTGGTCGCTTGCAATGGATGGGGCCGCAGTAGGTGCATGTTGACCATCAAAACTCAACTTCACGCGCCTGTGGTCATACCTAGTCAGAGTATGTCAGAGTAAGCCTTCAAAAAGCTCAAAAAGTTAAGGCGGCTGGTCTGACTGCCAGCCTATCCTTGTCAGGTTGTGAGCGTTTTGCTTGCCGCTTGCCTTTGCCCTGTCCCTCCAATCATCTCTCAATCCCTTGCTTCATGATCGTTTTTTGCGACGCCAACTGCAGTAGTGGTTTCACCACACGTCGCTTTTTGTTGACGTGGCAGGCCACTCCCTGATGACAAAGAACACAAACAACAAATCTGAAGAAATAGCTTTGAACACAGCTTTGAACATGTTTACATTACTTTTCAGCAGCAAACATGTCACTGGTTCTCCCTTAAACTTAAACTTGCTGACAGTCTGGGGTTATTCGCCAAAACTACGCCGCGCAGTCTGGGCCGGCAAATGTACACACAACGAATCCAATCAGATTGAAGGCAACGGGGAGGGTATGAAGTGGCGCGCTTTCATGCTTCCATGCGGTTGGGATTCCATTGGCGATTGAACAGCCACACGTTCTGTCGAGACGCCC